AGGTGGACTTCACTCAGCTGCAGAGGTTCAGAGACAGGCAGGATGTGAACTTGTCTTGGAGGCTCCGGTAGGACCTGGTCAGCGGAGAGGATGGGGGAGCGTGTGGCCCTCCAGAAGGGCATGTGGCCTGGGCAGGGGACAGAGGCCTCCGACACAGTGTGTTTGGTTGTGAGGCAGCAGTCGCCAGACGTAGCAGGAGAAAAGGTTCACGTCTGAAAGGACCTGGAAGGCACACACATCCCCTCCGCTGTGCTTGGGCGAGAACAACCCTGGGTGGGCTCCGGGGAAAGAATCGACTCTTTTGAGGCTCTTCTGCTGATGTGGAGGAAGACTTGGGCGTGGGGGTGCTGCTGGGGTAGAAACCAAGGTGGGGCAGATTCTCAAAGTGGTCACGGGACCGCCCTGGGTTTGGCTTTCTGGACAGAGCCCAGAAGCTTGGTCTTCACCCCTGTCCTGCTCGTCTGCAGAAAGTGTAAGTGCAAGTTGGCAAAACAGGCGCAGCTGTTCCCTGGGGCCGCCTGCCTGCCCCCGTCAGAGGTGCCCTGGAGAATGACCTTGGAGAGGCAGCGGGGGCCTGATCAGAGCTGAGGAGGTGGGGCTGGAGCTGCTCCATCTCTTGCGGGCCTTGTGGGTACAGAAGGGACTTTACCTTCAAGATGAAGCTCCTGACTCCTTATTTGTCCCCTGAACATCTGGCCCACCGGGTCACGCAGAGCCCGTGTCTTCCCACCTATCCTTCCCCTTTCCGTCTGGCTGCTGCCTTGCCTGTCCCCATGCTCGTCGGGCGGCCGGAGCCCAGCTCAGGATCAGAGCAGTGGCCCTGCAGGCTGCCCTCATCGCTGTGGGGGGAGGACTTTGAATGGCAACACAAGGGGAGGCAGTGGGTTCTGTCTGGCCCAGACCTAGAAAGGCACACCCAGGCACCCTCCTTCAGGGCAAGGAGGCTCAAGTGTGGAGGGGAAGTGGCTGGGAGAGGTGGCTGGGGTAGGAAGGGTGGCGGTGACCGCAGGCAACCTTCTTGCTCCAGCCCAGCCGCCTTTCTTTCCCCCCAGAGCTCCTGCCGTGTGACTTGCCTCCCTGTGCTGAGAGGAATGGCCGGCAGCAAGCGAAAGGAGGTTACAGGCTGCGTTTGTGCCTGGAAGCTTCCTCCAGGCTGCTGGCAGCCAGGCCGCTGCCAGTTCTGGGAAAGGAGGAATCTATGTGAGTCGTAGCCCTGAAGTGTGCCCCACGTGGGGCACGCAGTGTCCCCTCGGATTGTCCTTCCTCTCTCAAACGTACATTTTGTTGGTCCCGGAGCAGGGAGTGCGGTGGACTTCTCTTCCCCCACACGGGTGTGCTTCCTCTCGGAGGGGCCCCGCCGCCTTCAGGGTGTGGTGGGGGGCAGAGGTGCAGCTGGGGCAGAAGGACGACAAAACCAGCATGCAGCTGTGGTGCAGCACGGTTCACACGTCTCAGGGTACAGTTACTTCCTCATCATCTAGACTGTGAGCACCTCGGAGACAGGCAGAGAGAGAGAGAGAGAGGGAGAGAGAGAGAGTGTGTGTGTAAGTGTGTGTTTCATCTTTGTACACCCAGGCCCCAGCACGTGGTTCTTCATAGACGGAGGCTAAATTGAAGCGATTTGCACTTGTCCAGGAAGCGGTGGGGCGGGTGGGATAGGGAATAGTAAAACTCTACCCAGGAACAGAGCTCCTGTTCCCCTGGCTTCAGACTCCTGGGAAGGTTAGGGGGTGGGGGCGGTGGACACCAGTAGGGCTCCCGGGAGTGGTCCAGCCCCCGACTCAGGGCACATCACCTCTTCCTATTCCTGGGGGAGCCCGGCCTTTAATGGCACTGACTCCGGCAAACCCTCCCTTTGGGCTGATGAGACATCTAAGAGCGAAGAGAGGTGCGGAGGTCGGAAGAGCAGAACGCCCAGAGTCATAGGACGAACCACTTGCTGGCTGTTTTCTTGGGCCAGCCGGTGCTTAGCCTCCCTCAGCCTTGTCACCCACATCTGTAAAATGGGAACAATGGCCGGCAGGGAACGGGCATCTCTCGCACACTGCAGAGTGAGCCTTGTAAACTGGTGGGAACTCCCTGCAAGTCCTTCGTAAACTTTCTTTAAAATGACCACGCCTTTAGCTTTGGCAGTTCTGCCTCTAGAAACTTACTCTAAGACAGCGATGAAGCCTGGAGCGGAGCTGGCCGAGAGAGTGAGCATTGTTTCTCTGCAATATCAGAAACTGGAAATAACCACAACGACAGAAATTTGGCTGAGCGATTCCAGTGTATCCATAAATGGAGTGTCAGACAGCCACTGAGATTATAATATACATATCCTTTATATGCAGTGGTATTTATGATATGTTGCTAAATATAAAAGGCTGGTTACAGAATAGTACTTAGAGTGTGACAGTTTTTTTAAAGCAATTCTTTTTTTTTTTTAATTCTTCACCTGAGGACAAGCTCGTTGATTTTAGAATAAGAGGGAGGGTGAGAGAGAGAAATATTGATGTGAGAGAGAAACATTGATCGGTTGCCCCCCTTCGTGCCTTGACCGGGGATGGAGCCCTCAACCTCTTGGTGTGCGGGACGTCTCTCCAGCCAACCTTGCCACCTCGCCAGGGCGGTCTGACACTGTTTTTAAGAAGAGTTTTGCTTCACATATTAACTGTGGTTGCTTTTGCATCATAGGATTAATTACAACAAACCTAAAATTTCTCCCTCTTATTTATTTTGCACAATAGCATGTATTATTTGGTAAAGGTAATACAGATTATACAGATTATATTCCAATATGGACATTTAGCATTTAACATTAAAGAAGGTATTACGTGTGAGGGTACTTTGCAAACTGAAAAACCATGCAGGCATCAGACGGAGTCTCTGCCCATGAGGGGCCTACAGTTTGGGAAGGGAGGAGAGATACTTGAGACCCCACTGCGTGAGGCCGGAAGTGTGAGAGCTGTCAGGTAGGAATGCAGACCTGGCAGCAGGAGGGGGCCCGGGTCTGGAGGTCGGAAGGCGGCCTGTGTGGAGGGAGGGCAGCCGGGCTGCGGGGACGGAGGAGAGGTGAGTCTGGAAAGGCAGGGAGGGGCGTGCTGCAGGCACTCTGGAGGCTGTGCTTGGTGAGATAGTCGGCGATCGTTTACTGGCGCCTTCTGTGGGTCAGGAGCCACTGAAAACTCCGGAGGAGGAGGTGACGGGGCTGTGAGCCCACTGAGGGCAGTGGGGTCCTCACGGCTGTGTTGGCAGGCCTGGCGTGGACGGAGGCGGGGTGAGGTTGGGAAGCTGAGTCCGGCTTCACATGGCGGGGGCTGGGGGACTGGCCCGCATGGGTGTGAGGCGGAGGTGGGCCGAGGGCCCTCTCTAGGTTGAGTCACTGAGAATGCAAAGGAGAAAAGACCATCTTCCACCCTGACTGGAGAGCGGTGGGAAGTAGAGGAGGGGAGAGTCTGACTTATCTCCCAGGCTTGCCCCCCAGGGGGCTGGAGAACTGGACGTGGTCCACTAAACTCACCGGCCAGGCCACCAGCAGGAGGGGCGGCTGAGGCAGGAGTGGAAGGGCAGTGATTTGGTGCTCGCAACAGGCTTTCTGTCCATTCCTCCCGGTCCTCGGGTCCCTCCAGGTGGCTGCCCCAGGGCCGGCAATGCGGGGTGGAGGTACCCAAGCCTCCTGCTGCTGTGAGTGTCTGGCACCCTCAGCTCCTCGGGAAGAATGTGGGGTGTGCAGAGAAAGGTTTCAGCCCAGACCCTGTTTGTCCATGAGAAGTCACAAACCACCCTGCCTCCTCTTGGAGCTCCTCTCAGCTCCTCCCTTCTCCGAGCCTGCCCCAGCTCCCTCTCCCTGCAGCCCGGGGCTCCTTCCTCCCTGGGGGTCCCAGAGGCTGTGTCTGCCTGCTCACTGCCCTGCAGTGCACACACAGATGTGCACACACTCACACATGCTCGCACTCTCACACTCACACTCATGCCCTGGAAGGAAGGTGGAAAGTCGTGTTCAGATGAATGTCTGAATTTCCACACCCTGCTGCAGCTCCCGGCCAGCTCCTCCCGTTGTCATGTCACTGGTTAATTACATTCTTTACCAAGGTGCAAATGTGTTTTTACAGGGAGACTGAGATGGCGTTAACTAGGAAGGAGCTGTGACTGTTAAAGATGCATTTACCTCTGGTGTAGGGCTGGGGCTCTTGGCTGAAGAGGTGCCAGGTGCTGCTGAAAATACAGCCCGGGCACCAAGCAGTGCCCCCCCGCCAACCCCCGCTCTGCCCTGCCCGCCCTAAGCAGCCCAATCCACAGGGAGAAGTGGGTGTGAGTGTTTGGGAAATGCCAGGCCAGGTCCTAGGGCAGCACTGACCACCGACCTCCATTTCCCAATACCTTGGTCCATTTCAAATAGCGAGAAATAAAATTGATTCAATTTAATCTAAAAATAAACAGATAAGCTGTGTAGCCAAAGCTACCTTGGGGCCACAGGCTGCCTGCCCCTTACTGTTAAAATCCGCTTAGGGCCCATTGCTTTCCCCACTCTCCCTGCCTGCTGCCCAAGGGCACCCCCCAACCCCATCCGTGTCTCCCCAGGCCCCCAGACCTCTGAAACCCATCCGCACATCTGAAATGGTCACACCTTCAGCGCCTTCCTCTGTGTCCCCAGCAGTTTAAGACAAGGGCCCAGCATCACTGAGACCTCCCTGCCCCGTTGGGGACGGTGGGGTGGGGGGTGCAGAGGGCAGGCTACATGGACGCCCGGTGTCAGGAAACCAGACAGATGACGACAGGGCGCTTCCCGCTGTGGTGAGCGGCTGGGCTCTCGAATGGCTGGGTGGGCCCCAGCAGCTACACCGAGCAGGGAGACCTGAGGGGACCGTGGCAGCCAGGTGCACAGGGCAAATGCACCGGACCCTGTCCAACCGCGGGGGGCGGGGAGCGGGTGGTGTGCAGTGTGGGCGCCCCCCTGTTGGCCCAGGTGCCCTCGCCTCCACTTTCCCTTCTGAGAGCTGCTCTGCCTTTCCTCACAGGTGTGCTGGCTGGAGCTGACAGGAAGGCTTTCTGGCCCAGCTGGAAGTGAGACGAGGGGGTGCGTCTCCTGAGAGCCATCCAGGAGGCCGCCAGGATCACCAAACAGTAAGACACGCTTCCTCGTCCTTTCACACGTAGTTAACCGCTCCTGGCAGACGCTCTTGTCTTGCAAAAGCCTCGAGACCCAGCCCAAGACGTGAGCCGGCACATTGCACGCGCTCCCTTGGAGAGCGCACCGGCTGTCTCGTTTCTCAGGTCTCCTCCCTGAGGATACTGCGAGGGTGCTGCCCTTCCCCGAGCACCTCCCTCCCTCCCGCACACCCTGCATGGACCCTGCAGGACAGTGCATTGCACGGGTACACACGGCGGGGCCACCGCTCCGTCACCACGGGGGTGACAGCCGTGCAGCCCCGGAGGTGCGTCCTCACCCAGGGCGGTTTGCTAGAAGTGCAGTTCTGGGTTCTGCATCTGTGAGTCTGAGTTACGGCCCAGGAGTCTGCACCCCACATGGTTTTGATGATGAACTTGAAGGAGACTGCCTCCCAGGTGTTTCTGATGAACTCTGAAAATTGTTCTTTAGAATGTAGGAAACGTTTTGAATAGAAAATCTCATTTAATCCTCTCATCAGATAGGGTTCTTTAAATCCCCTTAAGTAACTTCAAGATCTAGGAGATATACCAGTAGATGCAGGGATTTAGCAATCCAGTTGCCCAAAACCACTCTTCTCTTTCCAGTATGCCATGGTAAGGGCCGGGTCTCTTGTGGTGAGACTGGCCCCCAACTCTAAGGGACCCTGCCCAGGACTGTGTAAGTTTCCTGATGCCTCAGGGCCACCAGGACCTTACGGTTCATCAGCCGTCATCTGGGGGACAGTAATCTGTGCCAACATCCTCACCAAAGCCGATTTCCCCGGAGAGAGAGGGAGAGTTAGCCAGAAAGGTGAATGTTCCTGGGCCCGCCTCCCAAGCAGGTAGTTAGTGAAGACACGGATATTCAAGAGGACTGCTTTCTTAGAGCGGCAGAATTGGCCAGTGACCACTGTCCCCTTCCTATGCCCTCTGGCTGTTCGGGGAGCTCTGTTCCAGGTGCATTAAGGTGGGGCACATGCTAGAACTTGCTGTGGCTCCTGGAGGTGAAAGCCAGAGAGACACGGGCATATCTGGGGTGGGGGTCAAGGCTTCGGTGAGCATGGGTGGGGCGATGCCCGCTTGGAAGACAGGCTCACAGTCTTTGGGGCCTGCATGCACAGTGCTATTGAAAGGAGTCCACTGCAGGTGATGGCTGTGGGGAGTCGGGCGGGGGGTGGGGGTGGGGTTGAAGAAGATAGGGAGATGCTGGCGTCCAAACCCGCCAGACGGTGCCTGGGAGCGTGGAGGGGCCCCTGCCCTCCCTACGCAGTGGAATATGGGGAAGGATGGGAACTGGTGGACAGGGGGCTAACTCCTGCTCTGGGTTCTTTCTGTAGAATGGAGGCTTCCGGGGATGAGACAGCAGCCACCTCAGATATCACCCCGATTCCTCACACCCTACAACACACACACACACACACACACGCACGTGCACGAGCGCGAGCACACACACACACACACACACACACTGACCCCCGAGCCGTCTCACCGAGGGAGTGCCAGGCTGGTCTGTGCTGGGAACCGAATATAGTTGACACTCTTGCTCGGATGGGTGTGAGCGGCAGGGACAATTTTTGCAACTGATACTGGAAGTGTGGCAATCAGAGGAGCGACCAGCTGTCTCACTTAAATTGTTAGCTCTCTTGCTCTCTTTTTTTAAAATCGTTTTTGCTTACATAATCCACCCCCTTTTTATTTTCTAATTCTCTCCTTGCAAAGCTGGCACCAGAAGGGAAGGGCCGGGGTGGAGGGGGTAGCAATTACACATCAGTTTGGGGAGCATTTACATGTTGCAATTAGAACTTTAAAATAAGCCCTGTTAATGATCTCCACGTGTCAATGACACACCCGGACTGACACAGACTCTCCTGGGCCTGCCTGCCGCCCCCAAGCGAGTGACTTGGTGGAAGCAGAGGCACCTAGGGAGACACGGGGAGGCCGGGGCAACATCTGAGTGAGCCCTGGAGGCTGGTGGAGGACAGGTACAGAGGTGAGCACCTAGAAACCGAGAACGGGGATGACAGCTTCTCTCCCCGCCCTCCTCCCCCACCCCCCCCCCACCCCCCCCACCCCCCCGCAGCCGAGGCTCCTACCAGCCTGTCTCCTTCCACTCCCAGTCCCAGCAGGACTCTGAGGAGCCCAGAGCCGTGAGAAAGGGCACCTTGACTGCCGATTCCCCCTGGGATGGGGGCGGATTTTCAGAGTCCCATTTGGGCCAATGGATAGCCTAGTTCCCGAGAGCTGGCCAGTGCCCCTGGACGGGGGAGACAGGCCAGCTCGTACACAGGGCTCTGGAGGGGAATGGAACTGGATGTGCCCCGGTTTGGGAGAGGCACTCTTCCTCTTACCATTCCGTTATCAAGCATTTACTGACGCCCTCTGATGCCTTAGGCAGGGACTCAGAACCAGACGGACCCAGACCCAGGTCCTAGCCCCGCCACTGGGATCTGGGTCAAGTGAGGTAGCTGCAGTTTTCCAGCCATCACTGTCTTTAGGTAACTGGCGCGATCTCTTCTCACAGGGCTTCTGTGAGGGTCCGACAGGATGATGTACTAGAAAGCCCCTCACACAGTGTTGGGCCCGTGGTGAGGGCCCGTGGTGAGTGCCCGTGGGCTGTGGGGCCCAGCTGCCCCACCATGCTGCCTCCCACCCATGTGAAAGCCGCTTCTTTCGTTGGGCACGAAGGAAGCTCGATCTGGTCTGATTTGTCATGTCCACAGCCCCCTGCACCCGAGCAGCTCCTGAAATGGATCACACACTCCACGGTCTCCCCATAGGGCTCCCTGCGAGGCCGTGGCTTCAAGCCTCTGCCCTGGGCTTCAACATCTTGGGGCCCCTCTTCCCGACACTGGCTTTTAACAAGCCTTGTCCTCTCTCTTCTGGATGTGAACCCAGCGGAGTGAGCTCAGATGAGGCTCCACTTCTGCTCTTCACTTGTGAAGTGCAGGAGGTGGTCCCCAAGCTCTCTGATCACCTGTCAGTCCTCACGCCTGCACCTCTCAGATTCTCGTCTTCGCTCTGTGTCTCCAGCAGCTGTCTCTGAGGAAGGCCTTCGTCCGAGAGCAGCTCCCTCCAGGCCAGTCTTTGCACTGGTCACTTATAGGCAAGAGCTTGCATCCCCTGCTCGAAACATCCGTGAAATAGCTCCAACCTAGGGCGCAGGTGATGCGTGCCTCCAGAAACCAGAGAGGGGAGACTTCCAGAAGCAGGCCACTTGGCCCAGGGCAGAGAGCATAGGGAGGGACCACACCGTGCTGGCTTTGGTGTTTAGTTGGACACAGTTAAAGGCTGTGTTTTAAATACTTTCCTAGAAATTTGCTTTTTTTAAAACGTAGGTCACGTAATGGACAACTTTCCAGGTCAAAATAAGTAGATGTACTGCATTAGCTTTGGTTACTGCATAGTATTCTTTTACATAGATGTTCATTATTTATGTTAGTTATTTAAAAAATTAGAATTAAAGTATCTGTGTGAGGAAAAGCAAACAACGTACAAGATATAAAATAAGATACAATAAAAGGTGCCCCTCCTTTCCCAGCCTTGACCCACGAGGTTCACCACCCAAAGCCAACCGCAGTGCAGAGCTGTCTCTGATTTTAGTTACCAAGTTTTTTCGGACTGTAAGCCACACCGGACCCTAAGATGCACCTAGGTTTTAGAGAGGGAAAGTAGGGGAAACAAAATTTGAAGCAAAAAATGTGGTAAAATATTTAATAACATAAATAACATAGGCCGTCCCCCCAGCCCCCACAGCGAGCCAGGTGAGCTACATTCAGACTATAAGATGCACCCCCTTTTCCTCCCAAATTTGGCGCATCTTATGGTCTGAAAGTATGATATTTGCTGGCTGATGCCTGGTGTGGTGGGTCATATACTTAAGTCCCTCCTTCTGAGTTTATGTGTTTACCTATTAGCTCCCTACTGTGAAAGCTGGGGAAACTGACACACATTTTCCCCTTCCAATTTGTGTAAGTTGATCATTTTTATCAAACTATATTTGATATCTATGTTTAATAAAGAGCAATATATCGAACATAGTACATATATCATATGGTATATACAGTGTAGTACATAGTACTATATATAGTTATACTATTATAGTAGTAGTCTGTTTAGTATCTTTACATTAAGGTTTAGAAGATTAATATTCTGGCATATGACTGCAGTGACCTCTGCATTCTGAACTGTAGGGTGACTATAAAGCAGAAATATTATTCCACTACAGAAGTCAATAGTGTGGTTTGACCATGGAAAATGAAATGAAATTTTTTTAAAAACATTTTATTCATCCATTTTTAGAGAGGGAAGGGAAGGAGAAAGAGAGAAACATCAATGTGCGGTTGCTGGGGGTCGTGGCCTGCAACCCAGGCATGTGCCCTGACTGGGAATCGAACCTGCGACACTTTGGTTCACAACCTGCACTCAATCCACTGAGCTACGCCAGCCAGGGCTTAAAATGGAATTTTTATAGAAACTTATGAGCCCCCTGGGGTAATGGCCAGCCCCCCAGTCCCTCCCATTGCCCCCCAACCCGTCAGGTCACGCTGGGCCCCATGCACAGGTTGCGTAGACATTGCTTTCTACCTCCCGCCTCTTTGTTCTGCTGGAACTTTTTTATCTCGACAGGTGGGAAATCAACTCTGAGTTCTTACATGTCCAAAACAGACTGTTTTCTCTTCAAACTTGACTTGGGTTCATAATCCTACGTTCAACATCTTGAAGACATTGCTGTGCCATCTTCTAGTCATTGTTATTAAAGATTTTATTTATTTATTTTTAGAGCGAAAGGGAGGGAGTGAGAAAGAGAGGGAGAGAAACATCAGTATGTGGTTGCTCCATGTGTGCCCCCGCACTGGGGACGCGGCCGTCAACCCAGGCACGTGCCCTGACTGGGAATCAAACCAGCGACCCTTTGCTTCACAATCCGGCACTCAATCCACTGAGCCACACCAGCCAGGGAATCTTACTTCTAGTCT